TTTTTATGGACAGCAGAAGCGAGGTTACAGAAGCGAGATGCGTGGTTACAGGGGGATGATTGGTTAATTTCAAATTACGCTCGGAGTCTCAAGAAGATAGGTGTCTGGTTTAGATCATGGTCACCAGACCCCAGGAGGGGCAGCTCTGGAGTTTCAGATATGGTAATTCCAGGCACTGGGGCTGAAGTGGGTCAAGGGTTAAGTTGCAGAACTGAGATGGGGGTCTTAGTGAAATGGAGTTGCTTAGGTTCCTCATTTCCTCCTTTCTAGAGCATCAGGGGCCAATCATGGTCCCCTAATTGGCATAGTCTTTTATATTTACAGTTTGGTATTGGGATCGCAGAACTAATAGATGGACTGCGCTGATCTTTTTCTTTTACAAAGGACACCAGTCTGTTGAGTATACAAGGTCCGATTGTAAGCAACAAAATTAACAGTACCAAAGTGTCAACGTCTAAGGCATTGGGGTCCCTGGGTAAGGGTCATGAAATCACCAGGACACAGGGGGTGCAGAGTGCAAACAGCAATTGCCACTGCATGCTGTGCTTTATTGTTAGTGTGTATTTAAAGATAAGCAAGCATTATCTTTGCCAAGATTTAATCAGGAGACATTCACACAAAGAATTTATTTATTTATTTATTTATTTTGTCGGTCGTGGGGCTTGAACTCTGGGCCTGGGCGCTGTCCCTCAGCTCTTCAGCTCAAGGCGAGCGCTCTACCACTTGAGCTACAGCGCTACTTCCGGTTTTCTGGTGGTTTATTGGAGATAAGAGTCTCACGGTCTCTCCTGCCCGGGCTGGCTTTGAACCGTGATCCTCAGATCTCAGCCTCCTGAGTAGCTAGGATTACAGGCGTGAGCCACCAGCACCCGGCTAGAATTTCTTTTTTTTCTTTCTTTTCTTTTTTTTTTTTTTTTGCGTCCGGTCGTGGGGCCTGAACTCTGGGCCTGGGCGCTGTCCCTCAGCTCTTCAGCTCAAGGCTAGTGCTCTACCACTTGAGCCACAGTGCCCACACTTCCAGCTTTTTTCTTTTTGCTTATGTGGTGCTGAGGAATCGAACCCAGGGCCTCATGTATGCAAGGCAAGTGCTCTACCACTGAGCCACCTTCCCAGCCCCTCACACAAAGAATTTCAACAGATACATTTTTACTTAACCTATGAGACAATGTGTTGGTATATTATTATCTAAACTATGTTAGAGCAAGCTCAAACCACTTCCCCAATCTCAGGAAAATGCTTGACCAGCTGTTCATCTATGCTTAAGCAAGCAGAAGAGCTACTTCCTCAGCTTCCAGGAGTCTGTGACACGTGTTTTGAGATAGGGAGAGAGAGCATGTTCCCTCTCTAGCCCGGCGTGCCAAGAGCTTTCCACATACACACACACAGTCCTCAGATCATCCCGAGGCCAGAGCCTGCCCCCTTCAACACAGACCCTGAGTCTTCACACCAAAGGCCTCACATTCTCTTCTACCAGTCCTGACTCCGGATGTCACAGCTAACTTAATTTTATACCAGCTGCACTCGTAAGCTCCAATTTTAAGACATACCATTTTCTACATAAACTTTCTGAGGTTTGTCTTCTTTACAAACATTTTAAGACAATCCTTTTTTATCCAGAGGATACCAATTTTTCCCCAATTCCTTTCCCAAGGCTTTCTTTACTACCTTCCTCTTCTTTACAACTCCTTGAGCTTCTTTGTGGCTAGAGTTTAAAACTGCCCAATTTTCCTTTGGCTTGTGGAACCAAGTTATTTCAGAACAGCCTCAAGGCACCACTGGGATGCAGAAGCTTGCTAGATTTTAAGGCTAAGAGTAGGGCTGGGTCTCATTTACTACCTCCATTAATTAAAAAAAAAATCTCTCCTTTATCTTTAACTCGCACTGGGGAGGGAGCAGGTTATTACCATACCAGAGCCAAACTAAGCTGTGACCCTGAAGTGCCTAAGGCAGCCAGTGATATCCTTGCCCCCAATATACTGGATATCACCTAAAGAATGTCCCACAAGATCTTAGTTTTAGCAGGTTTTAACCGGGAAGCATTCACAGGTGATAGAATCAGGCAGGAGTTCAGTCTACTTTTACCACGGTGGAGGTGGTCTGGGTGACAATGTAGATTTCCTCCAGGTGACTGTCAGGCTGTGGTTGAACTTTACCCATTAGAGTGTGCAGCAGCAGCAGCAGCAGCGTCTCTCAGTGGCTCCAAGGGACAGTCACACCTCCGTGCTGGGCTGCAGATTCCTACACAGACTGGTTAAGGATACATTGCATAGGCTTGGCCGGCTGTGATCCCACTAGTCTTTAAGACTATTTAGACAATAGCCCAGGACAATTTACCAAGATAACAACTTTTTAAACTAGATAGTTCTTTTAATAAGGCTAGGATTTTTCAGGCAGATACAGAGGGCTCAGGCCTGTACTACTATTTCCCATGCCTTTTTCTTTTTTTAAATTTTTTTTTCTTTTTTATTGTGAAAAAGCTGTACAGAGGGCTTACAATTACATGGGCAAGATAATGAGTACAAACTGCATCCTTGGGATCATTACAAAACATTCACAAAGAGGCGGGAGGTTAGGGCTGGGGCGACTATTACGCACGTCACCTTCCCACTCAACCTGTCGGCCTTTGGGTCTTGTTGACGGCCTGTGACCACCTTTTACCTGGTCAGGCGGCGGACACCTGTGGGTGAACTTCTGGATGTCATCTCTGGGACAGAGCACGTTGGGGCCTCCTCTAGCACCTGAGAGCAGCTCTTCTCTGTGGGTACTGGATCCCACACGGGGGTGGGGGTGGGGCAGGCGGGGGCAGGTGGGGGGCAGGCGGGGGGGGGGGGGTGCTCTCCTCCCTCCTGCCGGGGATAGATGGCGTCCTGACCTCCCGTTCCAATGTCCTCTACGGATGGTGGCCGTGTGACGTCTCTCAGGACCTCTTGCCTGCCCACTCCGGCAATGGGGGCCGGGTGGACAGGGAGACCCAAGTTCCATCTGTGTCTCAGCAGGCTTGGAGAAGAGCCAGCTCAGCATTCTGAGACAGTTTCCGCCCGCCGTGTCCCGTTGGGAGCCCAAGGACCATTGAAGGTGGTTGAGAGAGAGGACTTGGACACAGGGTCTGTTAGGGTTAGTGTGGGTGAGGAACAGAGCCAGCCAGGGGAGGGGCTGGTGCTTCTGTGAGCTGATTTTCAGACCTCAAAACAACAAGTGAGCATTTGAATTCAGTGAGATGCATCTGTAAAGACAGAACTCAGACCCAATGCCCACAGCAGCCAGACGGCTACTCTTTCCCCCATCGTGGCCAGACAGCCCTAAGTCAGATATGTGGGCCCAGATGGTGTCCACCACATGTGAAGCCCACAAGGGCTCAGGGACATTGCCGCGGATCGGGAGGACACCTAAGGGAGGAACCTGGAATAGGATGGGGAGATGGCAAACAGACAACTCACACACATTAGGAGTGGATGCTGAGTGCCGAGTGCTGAGTGCGATTTAATGCAGAGGATAACTAACTTTTAGCAAAAAGTCTCCATAAGAAAGGGCAAAAGGTTACACAATCTTGCTGCATGGCTTCATTCTTGGGTGGTCACCAGCTGGTTGCCTGAAAGGCACTTGTTTCCGGCTTATCTCTAAGAAATATAATGGGTTTCGATGTTTGTCACCATCTAACCATTACCTTATTTCTATAGAGGCCTTAATTGTCCCATAAGATCTTTCCTGTTCCTTCTTTAATAGTAAGGTCACGGAGGCCTAGATCTAGTAAGTCTCTTAGTAAATGAAAGAGAGTAACAGGAAGTTCTTTCTCCTAAGTAGTTATCTCCGCAATTGCCATACATTCCTTCTGTTCTAGCCGCACCTATAGCTTCTTGCAAATCTCTTACAAACAATTCCTTCTGCTGAAGTGACTTTGTGAAACCCCCAATATTTACTTATGACTTGTCTACTAGCCTCCATAAGAGGGGTTTTAGGTTAGCACTTATTGGAGTCATCAACACTCTTAAGAAAGAACTTTGAATAAGGGAACGTTGACAACGAGCAAGTACAAAGAGCAGTAGAAACAGTAAAAGATTAATAGGCACTCTTATGAGGAAAAGAAAGGCAGAAACACATCTTTCCCAGGGGTTTGCCAGCCTTTTTCCAGGAGTAGGCCTCTTAGAAGCCCTATTCTCCAAGGTAGACTTCGGTGAAGTCCCAAAACTTGGAGATAGGTTTCTGTAAAGCCCCATTCTCTGAGGTAGACTTCGGTGAAGTCCCAAAACTCAGAGATAGGTCTCTGAAGCCCCTATCTTGGTCTGATAGATGGTTTCCCATGCTAAGCAGACTCCACTGGAGTCGGCGTGGCAGGACATCACCTCGGCCAGGACGGCACTGCTAGTCACAGCCTGTCCGACTCCTGTGCCTGCGTCTGACTTCAGGCCGCCCTGGGAAGGCCTCGGGGCCTGCGCCAAGCCAGGGCCTCCGCGCATGAGAGATGGGGTGGGAGGCCAGCCAGGGGCCTTTCTGGGGGTGGAGGAAGTCCCAGGCCAGCCAAGCAGGAGGTACACGGACCAGGAGTGGGTGGGAGACTTGGGGAGAACTTTCTGTATTTTAATTGATTAACACAAAGCATATCTAAAAGCACAGCTTCTGGAAGAACTTGTTCCTCACCAGTCTGTCCCTGTCCCTGGCCAGGCCCCCACCTGGCCCTGAAGGGCAGAGTCTGTTCCCAGACTTAGCTGTGAAGACCACAGGCCCTGGGGAGGGCAGGAGGGAGAGGGCTTCAGGATGCTTTTTCTGGAACCTTCTTTGGGGAGACACGTGTGAACAGGACCTGGCACCCCACCATGGATGGGGGAGGATGGGCTCCGCTCTAGCCCTCGGGCTCTCTTGGCTCCGGGCTGCACCGGGGCTGGGCGGCGGCCAGGCTACCGCTTGCGTGTGCCCTCCTTCCCACGTGGGCATCGAGCCACATAAACGGCTCCGGCTGGGAAGGGGCTCACCCCGCCCGTGCTGTGCGGTGACCCAGCCTCGGGATGGGGGTGGGGCTGCTGACCACTCTTCTTGCTCTGGCCTCTGCACCCGGGACCCTGGCAGGGTGGCTGGGAAGGCTGGACCCGAACCAGGTAACACTCTGCTGGACTGAGGCTGGGCCGGGAGACCAGGCCCCGGCTCGGAGGCCACACGGCATCCAGGGCCCTCGGGCAGCATCTGGGGCCCTCCAGCCAGCCTGGGTGGGCACCGGGGATAGGGCTGGGCCGGGGCGGGGGGCGGTGTGGATGGGGACTCCCTGGGGGAGGAGAGCCTGGCGGCCTTCACCGACCCCTCTCTCTCTCCACACAGCTTCTGGGGCCCTGGTACATCCTGGCCGTGGCCTCCCAGGAGAAGAACTTTGTGGTGGAGAAGAATGTGAGGAGCATCGAGGGCGTCGTGGTGACTCTCACACCAGAAAACAAGCTGAGAGTGTGGTCCTCCCTGCGCAGGTGAGTGTGCAGGGCTGGCCGGCCTCGGGCCTCGGGCCTCGGGCCGGGCCAGCCTCCGCCTGACACCCCTTGTCTAGAGAGCCTCCGCCTGGCCCAGGCCTTGGCCCCCAGAGCCTCGGGCTGTGCTCACCTGGCCCAGGCAGGCCCCACCTGGACTCTGCATTCTTGTTCCCACACTCCCCCCACCTCCTGGGGCTCCCTCCTCCTGCTGGGCTGTCCTCTGAGCCGCCACCCTTGTGTTGGCCCTGGCATCTGGACTCCTGGACGCTGGGCCTGCCTGGTCCCTGACTGCTCAGCCCGCCTCTGGCCGCCTGCTCTGATGCACCTGATGCTCGTTGGTGCAGCCGGCTCAGGTCACAGGTGCAGCTCCCCCCCCCCCCCCCCCATGCCCTAACTTCCTCCCACCCAGCCCCACCTCCCAGCCCTGCCCCAGGCCGGTCCCAGCCTTCAGACCTGCAGGACTGAACACTAGCTCCACACTACCTCCCAGCCCTGGCCCTCAGCACTCGGTGGCCTGTTTCTAGGGGTCTGACTCGTGGGGGCTTCAGGCTGACTTCTGGGGACAGCCTCGGTGCCTCCTTTCCAGCGTGTTCCCTCCTAGTGCTTCTTACGGCTTTAGTGGCGCCCTCAAGTATCCGGGAGGTTAGCCAGCCAGCTGTGTGTGATAAACAGCACTAGCTGAGCGTGTGCCAGCGGCTCACCCTGGAACCCCAGCTGCTCAGGAGGCTCCGCTCTGAGGATGGCCTCTTGAAGCCAGCCACCGCAGGAAAGTCCATGGATGCTTATCTCCACTTAACCATCAAAAAGCTGAACGTGAAGCTGTGGCACAAGTAGAGGAGCCCTAGTTTTGAGGAGAGAGTTCAAGCCCCAGCACTGCCACAGAACAAAAACAAAAACAAAAAACAAGTTATAAATATGTTTCCACATTTGCCATTTTTTCTTGTGTTATGAAGGAGCTTTTCTGCCAGGACATGTATGTTTTAAAACATTTTCTGCCGTTCTACACAGGACCCTTTCTTGTGCGTCTCTGGGTGCCACGTCGGGACTGGAGTGGGCTTCTCCACCCCTGGCACTGAGGATTCTCTCTGCCCCATTTGATTTTTTTTTGTTTTTCTGAGACAGGCCTTCTAGTCTCAGCTCCCTGAATGCTGGTATTACAGGCGTGAACCGCCAGGCTCCGGCTGTTAGCATTTTTCTTATATCAGGAATCTTTCCCGGGGAGTCAGTGTGAGGCTCAGGCAGGTGCTTGTGCAGCCGCAGTGTTGTTGGATGACCTGGCTTTCCCCATGGACGCAGAGTGTGATCTCTGTCTAGCTCCAAATGCCTATGGTATATTTTGCTTTTGTTGTTGTTGTTGTTGCGCTTTTTGTGCTGTTCCTTTGATGTTTTTACTTGTCTGACCTCCAAGGTTGTACTTTTTGTGGCTATTAAATGTGCCTTGTTTGGAGGCTCTTGCTGGAGTTTTCCTTCCGGAATTTCCTCAGTTCTTCTTGTGTTGTCTTACTCCCAGGCTGCCTTGGCTTGATGTGTCTGACAGGTGCCACGGGTCTACTGGGTTGCTTGCTTTTAGGGACTGAGAGTTGGGATGCCTGGGCTGGTTGGCTGCAGTTTGTCCCGTGTCCCAGGCTGTCTCCCCGTGGCGGGCACTGAGCTCCTCACACGCACTCGCTGGCCTCACCAGGGTCCTGGGGTGGAAGAAGCTGGGCGTTCAGGGTAGCTGAGGCACCTGTGGGCCCCTGGAGGCCTGAGGTCTGTGAGTCCCAGTGCTGGTCTGGGGGTCTCGCCATCTGGGCGGATGGGTGCTGAGGGGCCTTTGCCGTCCAGGCTGGATGGTTGCCACCAGAGGACTGTGGAACTACTGAAGCAAGAGTCCAGATGGGTGTTTGAGAACCCCTGTGAGTACGATGCCCAGGGGTCTCTGGGCGATGCTGCCCTGGGCGGTCCCCAGGTCCCAGGTGGGTAGGCCAGGGCTGGCTGCAGTGGCCCACTCTGCGCCAGGGCCCCAGAACCACTCTTCATGGGGAGTTACCAGATCTGACTGGATAAGAGGGGCTCCTGAACGCAGGAGATTTTCCCCTTAACCTCCCCGCCCCCCCCCCCCCCACCAGATGCCTGTGCGGGCGGCCACCTGGGCCTCGGGCCCTTCCCTGGGAAGTGGCTGCCCAGGCTTACAGGGCCAGGGGCAGGGTAGGTCACCCAGCTGCTCCTCAGGTTTCCCAGGACGAGCAGGGATGCGCACCTGACGTCCATCTAGCCACCCGTTACACACAGCTGCTTTCCAGGGACAGAGCTGGGCCTCGCCTGGGTCACCCTGAGTCTGCGCCTCCGCCCTGAGGCTCAGGCCAGCCAGCCCTCTGGAGGGCAGCAGAGCCCACACTTGCTTTCTAGCCCTGGGTGTGCTGGACTTCCGGGTGCTGGGCACCAACTTCAAGGACTACGCCATCATCTTCATGCAGCTGGAGCAGGAGGACGAAGCCTTCAGCACCGTGGAGCTGTACAGTGAGTGGGGCAGGCCGGGGGGTGCTCGGGCCCCCACACGCCGGGGCCAGGTGTCCTGTGGGCGGCCTGAGTGGGGACCCATGAGACCATGTGCTCACTTCCTCGAAGCTGGGTTGGGCGCCTCCCCTGAGGCCCCTGTGACCCCTCCCCCCAGGTCGCACAGCTGTGGCCAGTCAGGAGGCCATGCGGCTCTTCACCAAGTGGAGCAAGAGCCTGGGCTTCCTGTCCCACGAGCAAGTCCAGCTGCAGGAGGACCGTGAGTGACCCCAGGGAGCCCCAAGGACAAGCTGGGTGTGTGAGCTGTTTTCTGGCTTCTGTCAGTGTGTGGGGCTTTGAGGGGTCACCTGCCCCTTCCAGAGTTTTGCAGGATGGCCCCAGCCCCCGAGGTGAGGGGGGACAGGGCCCTGGGCCCCGGGAGGTGAGGGGGGACAGGGCCCTGGGCCCCGGGGCACAGCGCTGTCCTCACAGCTGGCCTGGCCTCTGCTTTCAGTCACCTGCGCACACGAGATCGTCCAGGTAGGCGGCCCCTCTGTGCATCACCGCTGGCTCCCTGGGGGTGGACAGGGGGACGGGGACCCCGTCTCATGAGGCCAGGCAGCCTGTGGCTCGGTGGCTGATGTGGGCGATGCCTGTGACACCCCACCACATGCAAGCCCGGTTTTCAGGGTGTGCGCAGTGCTCTGTGAAGGGGCACCGTCTGGTCTGTCTGGAGCTGGGCCGGGCTGTGCTCTCCGTGGCTGGAGGAGGAACTGGTGCTGCTCGCGGCTCCCACAGGACCCTCTCCTGAGCTCAGAATAAAGCGACTGCAAACCTTCCTTGTGTGTCTGGACTGAGCCGGGGCTGGGTGGGCAGACCCGCCAGCCGCCCAGGCAGGGAGGGAGGGAGGAGCGCCCTTGGGCCTAGGAGCTGGCAGTGGCTGGTGGCTTCCCAGAGGACTTGACAGGGCTCCAGGCAGGCAGAGGCTGACCAGCCTAGGTTGGGCAGAACCTGTGGGAGGGATCTGGACACTGGATGGATGGGTGGTGGAGGGGCCTGGACACCATGTGGACGGATGCAGGAGGGGTCTGGACACAGGATGGGCAGATGCTAGAGAGGCCTAGACACAGGATGGGCAGGTGCTAGAGAGGCCTAGACACAGGATGGGCAGGTGCTAGAGAGGCCTAGACACAGGATGGGCAGGTGCTAGAGAGGTCTGGACACAGGATGGACAGGAGGCTGGTGTGCACAGATGCCCTAGCAGGAAGCGCCCCCCCCCCCCCATGGCTATAGCTGGCTTATCTGCCCCAGGGCGGCTGCTGACCTGGGACTGGCTGAGCTCTGCAGCCTCAGTGTCCTGTTGGGTCCACGTCCTGAGGTGGCTGGGCTGGGAGGGGGTTGACGTCACTCACGCTGAGGTCTTGTCCCCGGGGCTGGGCGCACATGTATGCGGCTGGTAGCCACCTGGCTTTTCCCAGAGCAGCCCTGGCGTCCAGAGGTGCCCAGAAGAGGACTGAGAGTCCAGTGAGGAGTCAGGGTGGCGTCCAGAGGAGCCCAGAAGAGGACTGAGATCCAGTGAGGAGTCAGGGTGGAGAGACAGGGCACCCCCTCTGTGTGAACACACACGCACGCACACACGTACATACGTGTGCACACACACGCGTACACACGCGCATGCATGCACACACTCACGCATCCTCCCTTGGCTGGCCACTGGCACTGCAGCCTCCAGAAGGCTGCCCAGAGGACACCAACCAGCCCCCCTTTTCACGCCACCCTGACTCGGAGAGCAGCACAGCTGCCCTGGCCTCTGTCTCTCATCTGGTGGTTGAAGACGTGAGGACCAGGCCACAGCCGAGGTGGGAGGGCTGTGGTAGCCCCTGGCTTGTGGGGGCTGTGGTAGCCCCTGGCTCGTGGGGGCTGTGGTGGCCCCTGGCTTGTGGGGGTTGTGGTGGCCCCTGGCTCGTGGGGGTTGTGGTGGCCCCTGGCTTGTGGGAAGGCTGTGGTGGCCCCTGGCTTGTGGGGGCTGTGGTGGCCCCTGGCTTGTGGGAAGGCTGTGGTGGCCCCTGGCTTGTGGGGGGGCTGTGGTGGCCCCTGGCTTGTGGGGGGGCTGTGGTGGCCCCTGGCTTGTGGGGGCTGTGGTGGCCCCTGGCTCATGGGGGTTGTGGTGGCCCCTGGCTCATGGGGGTTGTGGTGGCCCCTGGCTTGTGGGGGCTGTGGTGGCCCCTGGCTTGTGGGGGCTGTGGTGGCCCCTGGCTTGTGGGGGGGCTGTGGTGGCCCCTGGCTTGTGGGGGGGCTGTGGTGGCCCCTGGCTTGTGGGGGTTGTGGTGGCTCCTGGTTTGTGGGAGCTGTGGTGACCCCTGGCTCACAAGGGGAACGTGCTGGCCCCACACCCACAGAGTGAGGGATGGAGGGACCTGACCCTTATGAGCTCTCGGGAACAGGATGATACTCCCGACGGGCAGCGTCCACCATGGCTGGCCGCAGCCCCGCTGAGGGCAGAGTGCTGCACTGTGCCAGGGGGAGGGTGGAGGCCGCGCTGCTGGTCTCCTCCCAGCCCCCCCTCCCCCGGGGCGGCTGGGGGCTGGACAGACGCCCACGGCAGTGAGGAGCCGTGCCTGGGAGGTCTGTGCAGCAGCCAGGCCTCTGGCTGAGGCTGGGGAGCATGGGGCTCGGGCTGGTGCTGGTCCTGACCCTAGCTCCGGCCCCGGTCCTGGCTGTGAGGTCCCAGTTGTGGGACCATTTCCCCAGGGACATCTACAACCTCAACTGGGAAAAGGTGAGCCTCGTCCCCTCTGTCCACGGCACCAGGCCCCTGGGCCCCAGGGGGCCGGGATGGCACCTGTGTGGCCAGGGTACCTAGAGCGACATCTCCAGCAGAAGCTGGGCGGAGGACCTGCTGGGCCAGGCTGAGCAGCCTTGGGGCTCTTCTCGGGGCCTTGCTGGGGCCCAGAGAGGCACGCTGCAAAGGGGGGCAGTGTGGGGAGGCCCCTGGGCGGGTAGAGGGGAGGAGGAAGGAGCAGGGGGCCTGGCTGGGGAAGGCTCCTGGCGAGCAGCCCCGCGTGTGGCTGGGAGGACCAGGCACGGTGGTGTCGGAGCAGGACGAGCTGGCGGTCAGGGTTCGGGGACAAGCAGAAGGGGCGAAGTGGAAGGCCAGGGCTCCCTGAGGCTGGGCACGAGGAGGCCTGACCTCTGGAGTAGTGGGGAAACAGCCGCCGGTGCTCACAGCCAGCCCGGGCCTTCTCAGGCCTCTCCTCCTTGGCCAGGCTTGGACAGCCAGGGCCCCCGGCCGGGTGGCGTCCCCGCAGACGCGGACGCGGACATGGGTGGGGCGTCTGGTCGGTTCTCTGGCGGGGCGGGGCGGCGAGGCAGGTGCACACGCACCCTGTGCCCTCTGGCTCCCCAGTTCTCAGGGTTCTGGTACATCATTGCCGTCGCCACCGATGCCCAGGGCTTCCTGCCCGCCAGAGACAAGAGGAAGCTGGGGGCGTGCGTGCTGAAGGTGCACAGGACGGGCCAGCTGAAGGTGGCCATTGCCTTTAGCACGTGAGAGGACACGCGGTCAGGGCCAGCTCCTAAAGGAGGGGGCGGAGGGGGAAAGGGGGGGCGGGGGGGACGCACACCCACCGGCCAGCCTGAAATCCCCACAAGGCCACGCCCCATCCTTCTCCTCAAACCCAGAGGGCCATCCCGGAGGAGGAATCTCCCAGGTCGCAGTGGGCGCCGGGTGCCTTCAGCCCAGCTCAGCGCAGGCTCCTGCGGAAGCTGGAAAATGCAGGCCTGAGCTGGCCCCTGACCCCGGCCCCCGGCCCCCAGGCACGGGCAGGTCTTGGGGTGGTAGCCAGGGGGCGGGAAGGGCCCCGTGGCTCACAGCGCCTGCTCCCCAGGTCTCACGGCTGCCAGTCCCAGGTGGTGATCCTGAAGAAGGACAAGAGGAAGGCTCTGTTCCGGAACGCCTGTGCGTGGGAGCCCAGGCGCCCTGGGGAAGTGGACCAGACACCCAGCTGCGGCCTTTTGTCCTAAGAGCCCGCGGTGGGCGGGTCAGACACCGAGGCCGGTCGCCGGGCTGGCTGTGGTCCCAGGGCTGGCGGTGCGCCCGGCCCTGGGTGGCCTGGGGTGGGGTGTCCGGTGCATGGGGCTCTGGGCTTCTCTTGCAGTGAAGGGGGTGAAGGGCCTCCACGTGCTGTCCACCGACTACAGCTTTGGCCTGGTGCTCCTCCGCCTGGGGCGCACCCACCGCAACCACAGGAGCCTGCTGCTCCTCAGTGAGTGTCAGAGGCTGCCCGACGGCCCAGCCCAAGTCCCAGCGAGTCCCGGCGCTGGGCTGTGGAGGGAACAGTTCCAGGCATCTGGGTGGGCGGAGGGGACAGGCCGGCTCCCCGTCCACATCAGCTGGGCTGGCTCGGAAATCAGGGATCTGGGACATGTGGCCGCGGGCTGCCTGCCCTGGCAAGGTGCCCCAGCTTCTCTGCTAGGGGAAGGGTGGAAAGGGCTAGGATGACTGAGGTGGGGTAGCTGGGGACAGGTGCGTCACCCCGGACACCAACACGGGCCTCTCCGCCGCTGTGTCTCTGACTGGAACTCCAGGCAGACAGAACACCTCCAGCTTCGCCAGCGTGAGAGAGTTCCTGGACACCTGTCACGAGCTGCAGCTCTCCGCCCAGGCCACCATCCTCCCCAAAGATGGTGCGGTCCAGCCCAGAATGGTGCTGTCCTGGCCCCTACCCGGCCCCTTAGACGGCTGGCTTGCGGAGGGTGGGGAGAGGGGGATGGAGCCACCCAGGATCCTCATGCCATGTTCAGCCCTCTAGAGCCCACTGTGAACGCACCCTGCGCTTCCCAGCACCACCCGGCCCTCTGCCACCTTGGGCTTGTGCCGTGTGCTGTGCCGGGTGATGCCAGGCTGGGGGCCGGGGCTGCTGAGGGAGGAGCCGCGTGGGAGCCTGGTGGGCTCCCCCGGCCCTGCCCTCACGGCGGCCTTTCTCCCTGGCAGCCTCCTGTGCCCACACCATCCTGCCATGAGCCCTCGGCCCAGACCCCACAGCACTGTTCCCGATGGCAGCTCCTACGTTTGGAGGCTCGAGGAGAAGCTGTGGAGACCTGAGGATATTGAGCATGTGCAAGACCAAGTGCCTGTGGTTCTGTCTGAAGAGGGGAGGGGAGACGGGGCGGGGGGGGGTGAGTGCCCCCTGTGTGGGCAGAGGCTGGCGAGCAGACGCCAGCGAGCAGAGGCCGGGCAGCCAGCCCTGCTCTGCAGACCCCTCAGCACTCCTCCTGGGCCCCTAGTGTCTGTCGTGAAATAGATGGTGGGTTGGTCCCGCGCCAGCCTTGCCTCTCTATGCCGCCGCCCAGCTGCGCCTGGACGCCCCGCAGCCCCGCAGCGGCTCACCCACCACCACACACTTACAGGTCCGGTGCCGGGCTCTGGGCCGGCTCTGGGGCAGAGGCCGTCCACACGGCGAATGCCCTTCCAGAACTGCCTTCCAGCGGAGGCAGCTGCCACCCGTGCCGTCACCGGAGTGGGGGATTACAGCCACGCCTGAGCCCCTGCGCAGCGCTCCTCCAGGGGGAAGGGACGCGGAAGCAGGCAGACGGGTGGGGCAGGCTGAGGGTGCCGCTGGGAGCTTCGGGTGACTCTTGGAAAGATCCAGAAGGTCGGGGAACACTGACGGAGTGTGCGGACCAGTGGAGGGAGAGTCACAGCAAAGGGTGTGGGTTGTATTTAAGGGGGTCGGGAGAGGGGTCGGGAGTGGACTTTGGCTGAGCTGTGGGGGGTGGAGGTGACAGAAGGGCTCTGGTTTGAGAGAATGGGTTGGGTAGAGGGTGTTGGGAGGGGCCA